ATGATTTGAATGGTTGATTTATGCAATTTTTATCAACCTCTTGAATATTCTATAATAACCTCCTTAAATGAAGCTCTATATTTGTTTTTCTGTTTCTAACTGTTTTTGTATATTGGCAGCTTACCGTGCAGTTCCTGGTATATATTTAATGTTTGTGTTTATAAGGGCGGCCTACAACCCCATCCGTTTTCAGTCTGCTTTATTGTCCAACGAAACCGTTTGAAACGGTCAAGGGTTCAGCCAGTCAAGGGTTCGGACCAGTCCAGGGTTCGGACCAGTCAAGGGTTCGGACCAGTCGATCTGATCTGATCAGGGGGGTCACTTATTTTAAACCATACTGGTGGGTGATTTGAGCTAACAAAATGAAGGATCTACTGGAAATTATTCTACCGAGTAATATGTGATTTGATTGATACAAAAGTATAACTTGCGTGTTTATAACGGGCTTGTTTGGTATTCTGGTAGCGGGTGTGAATTGATATACTTCTTCGGAGGCTTCTTGTTTTTTTTAAGTCGTTGTGGGTACACAGGCTTGTGTGTTGTGCCCATGGCCCGGGCAGGGCCATCCCACGAGAGAGAGCTGGGAGGCCTTGTGTGTTGATGCCAGGCCGCTGTGTGAGTGAGAGCAAAGGCAAGTCTGGGCATACTGAAGTGGGAAGGCCTAGGTGGCAACACCAGCATAGCGCAAAAAGAACTAAGCTGGCAGACAGCATGGGCTGTCTGTGCAGACAGTACAGGCTGTCTACATACGCTCGGCCACCTACCACGCATCGTCCCGACGCAACAATACTGGTAGTAAAAGAAACTCGGTCTCTTCTCATAGGAACAGGGCACAGAACACAAATAAAAACATTTATATACATATGGACATGGAAAAAAAAACTTCCTACAGGGAGGGAAGAAAAAAAACATGTGGGGTGTGCTAAACATCGTGGTAAAAGGCAGTGAGCGTCGAAGGGCATCCTGCATGCCCTTTCCCGCGTCTGGACATATACTGCAACACAGGAGACATCGCTGTGGCTGAGCTGTTTACTTAACAGGTTACGCTCTCCTCTGGAACGGTGAAGCAGGACATCGTAGGAGTCGCTTTCGGTTTTCACTCAACCTGGGCACGACATGCTGGTGCCCCCGAGTGAGGCGTCGACAAAAACTCGGCAACAGGGCAGGACTTCTGGCAAGCGACTCAGGACACTTCTCGACTGGTACTGTCGCTGGGCTGTCACTGCCAGTGAGCGTGGAGCGAGTTGTGGAGCGAGTCGTGGCAGAGGGACGACTGGGCGAAACATCTGGGAGTCGTAACTCATACACCAGACTGCAGTGAGCGAGCTAGCAGTCAAAGTGACATCATCTTTGTGCAGGCTGCTACGGGAAGCTTGTGACACGAGGATGACACAGCGCTGCCGACAGGCCTGGCTGCGGCTTGACGAGTATCATCTCCGACAGTTGGGTTATAGCAGAGGTTAGCCTAAGCATCCCCAGACTTGTTTCTCTACATATAACTGCACTCTGAAGGTCTGGAGGTGAAGTGAAACAAATCTCGATGGAATCGTAGCAGGTACGATTCTGCAGAACATCACGAGCGAGAGCATTAAAGCTTTCTGTACAAGAGGGCTCGTATGCTCAGGGCTGAGTAATTTCAGCTGTCAAACACACTGGTCAAAACGGGTGACTTAGCACAGTGGTGCCACTCGGTCTGGCTCAGACCTCACTGGACACACGGAAACTTTAAAAACACACCGCTGTACATACGGTACACTACATGTGAAAAACACGGGACTGAGGGGAAAATTAATTACCCCACTACTTTATATTTTCTCTCAATCTTCTCGAAAATACTAAAAATAATTACTAGAACACTCGATGGTGACATCATGTGATGTCAGGCGTGTGTCCGCGAGGTGACGTCAGCAGCACTGTGACGTCAGCAGACATCTCGAGGTGACGTCATGAAAGTCGGGCGCATCGTGGGTGACGGCGATGTGATGCGGGCAGCAGACCACAGCATGTGGCTGGGATATTGGTAAACTCAGTGGCTTTGTAGGTCTACGTGACATCGGCCACACCCAACGTGGTGTCGATCCACGTGGTGTCGGGGATCTACGTGGCATGCTGATCCACGCAGCTTCGAGTGGCCTCGGGCACTCGGATACACAGTTCTGGCAAAAAATTCACACGAAAAACAGCGAAAAACCCCAGCAGAGGGAGTGGGCAGTGGTGTATGGTAGTGTGGTGGCGAGGAACGTGGGTGAGTGTATGGCGGGCGAGCAAACTAGCCATTTCCTCCTCCTCCTCCACCCACAAACACGTGGAGAAGCTCAAATGGACGCAGAAATCACCCCAAAACTCGCCTGGCTTGCTGAAAAAAGCTGTGCTGAGCTGAACAACAACAACAGCATACAAGTGACGCTGAACACGTGACTTGGGAAACAGCGTGGGACACTGTTGCATGGGGACGCTGTAGCGTAAAGGGGCACTGTGATGCCACTCACAATTCTCGAAGACTTTCGACAATTTCGGCTGGATCCTGCTAGTACCTGTGTCTGGATGCTCAAAGTGCAGACACGACATCAGGATAACTCGTTGAGAGACGGATGCTTCTTGTATGGATGATGAAGTGAAGATGACTTCATACCTCTTCCTTCCTCATGGGGCAAACACAACTGCTGCATCCCACCACTGCCACCATTTAAAGGGGCTTGTTTTGGTATTTGGTAGCGGGTGGAAATGATTACTTCTTCGGAGGCTTCTTTGTTTATTGTTAAGTCTTGTGGGTACACGGGCTTGGTGTTGTCCCCAGGGCCCGGGCAGGGCCACCCCACGGAAGGTGGGAGGCCTTGTGTTTGATGCAGGCCCGCTGTGTGAGTGGAGCGGGCAATTTGGGGCATATAAAGGGGGAAAGGGCCTAGGTGGCACACCGCATAGCGCGAAATATGAACTAAGCTGGCAGAAGCATGGGCTGTTGTGCAGAAGTACAGTGTCTACAGTTGAAAGCCGGGACTGTGGCAACTCTACAATGGAAGGGTCGACCTCAACCCTTTGTTTATCAATCGCTGTATCTATTTTCTTTTTTTTTTTTTTTTTTTCGTCTCCACCACAAAAAATCTATTTTTTATCACTAAGTTGACTGGTGCAAATTTTGGGGGAAAGGGACGCTTTTTTGTATAAAAAATTGTTCTCGTTGTGTATATTCGACCGCGGGGTAACTACGGGTTTTATATGAAATTCCAGATTGTCGGGTATTTCAAGAAAAAAGAAACTAATGAAAGTCACTCCACCCATAATTTCCCATTAAAATACTGGTTAGTTGCTACTCTTTCGCTGCCTGACCACGGTGGAGTGAGGTTGTCTCGGCACCCTTGCTGTCTCTGGGCGAGCTACCTTAGTTCGCAACAACCATTGAAGTGGGGACGGCGTGCTCATTGGGATATCAACATGGCGGAACATACGTACGGAGAGTGAATACTATCTGCATAGAGTGGTTGTGGTACGTTAAGTGGAGATACGATGAAGCCCTTTCTCCCTAACATCATCAGGGATAATATGGATTCCCAACGAGGAATTTGTATGCGTCGCCTTAATGGTTTAACAAGAATTTTTGTGAAATTTTAGATGTTTTACAACAAAGAATTGCGAGCATTACCAGGAGCAACGTATGGTGTAAAATTAAAAGGATGTTTGTTACTGACGTCTCTAAGTATTTTCACATGGGTAAAGGTACGGAAATGTACCCTTCGAGGCTACGGCTTATGGCCTGCGGGAGTTTTTTTTCGAATTAGGGGACAGTACTTCTGCCAATGGGGGTGTGGAGGGATGGCCCATATAAAGGGAAAATCCCGGAAGGTTCTTACCCCCCTTAAAATGACCTTAACAAGGCTATCCACCCTATGTTACGATGATGGGTTGTAGAAACAGGTTTATGTGCTATGCGGGGAAAGGAAAACATGCTTATGTAGCTCTTATGAGCACTGGCAGCCAGTGTTTTTGGAGGCGGGCTTCCTCGAATTTCGACACTCCAGTTGTGTTCAGCAGTGTGTAATTGGGCCTGGCTCTGATGCCTCGGGAGGGCCGGGGGAATGCCCTCTGGGGGCGAAGAGGTCGACCGGGAGGGGGAGGCGGCGGGGACATGTGTCACTTCCCGGGGGCGTCGGGGGAGTTGAAGGTGACACTGGGGGAGACTTTGCCCAGGAAGTTTTAAACCCCAGGAGGGGTTATTGGGCAGATGTGTAAAGGGTTTTTTTTTTGGATGAGGAGGAACCCTGTGCAAAGGTGTCTCATTTCAGTAGCTGGAACTTTGGAGGGACAAAAAATTTGTTGAGGAAGATTGATAAGATTGGGCGGGAGCATGTGGGGGGCCGTGGGGTACATCAGGAGGAAATTTGTCGAGGGGGGTATGTGTGTAAGTGGGGAGTTCTAGGAAACAAAACTCGGTAGGTGATGAGGTCAATTACCCCAGGGCAGAGGCGGGGAAGAAGTCAGGGGCAGGGTTGTGGAGCCGAGGACACATAGTGGTAGGGGGTGTGCCTGAGTTGCAAATTGGGAAAGGGGAGGGGGGGGGGAAGTGACTGCACGGAAAACTCGGGGGAAAAGGAACACGTAATATGAAAAGTGCAGTGGGTAATCCCAGAGGCAGGGGGAAAACCCGCCCCTTCTGTAATTTTCAGATGTTCACGCTTAATTTTTTAATGGACAAAAGACTAGGTCAAAAAATTTTGGGTTTGGGGAGGGGTTTTTTAAGGCGGTTTGATGTTGACATATGTTTTTTTGCAAGAGATAATCACGGGCTTAGTGTGTTGAGGGTGAAAGGATATGGTGTAGAACCAGTGGTTTGAAATTGAAAGGTGGGGGAGCAGTTGCGGAAAAGGAGACCAGCCCCTTGGGTCATTGGTTGGAAGGGGGGGGGGGGGTGGGGGATCGTGAGGGGGATGGCTTTGGGGTGAGAGTCGAGTTAGTTTCGTGGGAGTTTCATGCAAAATTTTAAAATAAAGGGAAAAAGTAGATTTTGTCAGAGGGATTGCGTAACTTGAGAGGTTTGCCTGCTATAACAAAATGGGAGGTGATTGGAATTTTTTGTGATTAGGAGTGGTGTTTGTCGAACCGAGAGGGGCGGGTTGTGTGCTGAGTGTGCTGAGGGAGTATT